TAGTTCGTTTATATTTAAATTTAGCTGGAACAAACCTACCTAATATATGATGAACTGGGATAATGCTATCAACAGAGATATTGAAAAATTCTTTTTTCCAAAGTTCTGGATCATTTGTAAAATCATTAGAATCTTCATTAGCAAAAAGAAATCTGGCATCTGCAGTTGCAGCAGGTTTATACCAATTTATAAAAGCCAAATAATGTTTTAACGGACCATTTGAAAGATGAATTACATGTTCAAAATAAAATTGAACTTGATCAGGATATGTATCTATATCATTATGTTGATTTATAAAATGCGCCAAAATATAGGAACTTCTTTTGGATAATATAGATCCAAAATATTCTGCTCCAATACGCAATCTACCATACTGTGTAACTTTTCCAGTAACAGCAACATAATTTTCATTTGATAAAGAAGAATCTAATTGTGGTCGGCTGAAGTTGTACTTGTAAGCACGATTGTAATAATCAATCAGCAAATTTAAAAGACCATCTAATAATATAATATTCAATTTTATTGGTGGTAAAAATTCTCCAAAATAATTTTCTGCTCCTGTTGCTCCACCAGAGACCAACTCTTTAGATATATTTAAAAATACTTGTAATTCTTCACTTTCAAAAGTTTCACTTTCATCATCAGTTTTATCATTTTCTAAATTAAGTATTTGAAAAATACTTTGATGATTTAAAGGTAAACTGTTAAATTTTCGTTTAATTTGGGAACTTTGCATTATAAATCGTATAATTTCTGGTTTAATTTTTTGTCTACTATTAGGTAAACTTCCTGTATAATTGCAATATTATAAGTAATAATTTAGAATAATTTGAATAAGATTATAAATACTAACCAAGAATTCCATTCATCCGTTCGAATGAAAAACACCAAAATGAGTAAAGAGGTCCATAATCTTTGCAACATTTACTTAATTGTAATGAAAGATGTAAATTTGGTATTATAAAATCCTTTCCATAATTAATTTCAATAAGTCTTAAAAGTTCAATTAAATGATTATGTGCAACATTTAAATTTCTAATGTTATTATTCTTCGAACTAATATAGAACAAGCTTGACTAAAATGGATATATATTTTTCAATCTTCTTGATCTAAAAAATCCCAAAGAATAACTCTAGCATATATTAAAAAAAATTCTTCCATTCATTAGCTGTTAAATTAGAAAACTTTTCTTTAATATTGATTTTATGTGGAATTCGTCTGATTTTTGATGGTAAATGAATATTATTCATATGCTTTTGAATTTTCATTAAATCATTCAAAGTTATTTTTCCATGCCCTATCCAAAGCCGTTTTATGATTAAAGATGCAATTCTGATAAATAAATTATGCATTGGATCTACAGGTAAAAAACGGATTGGATCGAAATAAAGTAAACGGAGCATTTCTGACCATCTTACATGTGATTTCCTTGCATGTCTTTTTCTAGCTTCATTGCTTTTGCATTTTCTCCATTTTAAAGCTGCTTCTCGATGTTCGCTTGCATCCTTAGCAATAAACCATTCATTAATATCATCCATACCACTGAAATTTCTGTTTATTGCAACTTTTAAACATATATGACAGCATACAGTGGCTGAATAATGACCACATAATTTTCTAGCGGCTGGGATATCACAACAACAAGCAATTATTGCGCACTTGATCAATCTACCAAATAAATGTTCAAAAATTTGATCTAATATTACACCTTCCCATAAAGATTGAAATTGATCAACGATTGGTGCTAAATAATGGTTGATCTGATGTAAACTTGCTTCGTTAGGACCTGGCATTAATCCTAAAATAAGCATATTTTTGGGTTTAAAGCATAATTCTCTTGGAAGATTATAAATAGTTCCGTATATAGCACTGGAACTATGAACTGTCCTTTCGAATGGCTGAAACCAGTCAACGTTAATCATAATACCTAAATGATTATCTGCATGTTCTTTATTAAAAAATTTCTGTTCGTTTAAGAGCTCTTCTATATCATATAATTTTCCATTGTTTGAAAACTTTTTCCAAATATTGCTATCATATATATCACACAGGATTTCTTCTTGGGCACTCTGATTGGTCCATAATCTGAGATTTTTTTCGAAACCTGGCCTTTGATACATACGTAAAAGTTGATTTTTTATATTGGCCATTGGATAAATTAACAATGGTGAATTAACGATTTTACCACCTCCTAGCTCTTTTTGTTCTGATAAAGGAGCATTACATTTTCAAAGAAAGTGATGGTGATGATTTGGAAATTGTATATGATTACATCTTTTTATCGCTTTCTGCTCTTGAATTGTGTGTTGTTCAACATCATTTATATTATACAACTTATGATACGAAGGACACACTGAAAACGTGATGAATTGATATTTCAATCCCAATTTCTTTCTTGTAGTATATAAAGAAGTTAGAAAGTCTTTAAACTGATCATTATGATCCAGTTCCGTTAAAACATGTTTAACAAATTTGATTAATGTGTCAGTTGCTGTATCTGATAAGCGAAATCTGGTTTGGAATCTTAAAATGAATATAATGATCCATTCTTTGTCAATATTTTGTAGATCATCAAAACTGTCAGGAAAATCAAAATCTGGTGGAGAATAATCTTCAAAAACATCAGCATCGCTATTATTGCTATTATCACTATCATTGCTATTATCGCTATCATTACTATTATTGCTATCATTATCATCACCACCGGAACTTGAACTACTATCAGTATTATTATTATTATCAGCTTCTTTAGAATTTTCCCAAATAGTATTATTTCTGTTTCGTTTTCTCAGTTTCAAAGAAATTAATGCTAAATTTTC